TTGAGTACCTGCTGAAGAATTGAGGAACTTCATAACAGCATCGTTGCTGGGTGCCAGGAGGGTAACGTTCTTCGCGTTATTCAAAGTGCTGACGAGAGGTGCCTGCGTGTTTACAAGTGTCACTAGGCTGCTCAGTTGACTGTGAGCTCCCAGGACGCTGGTGAGTGATTGCGCTGAAGCGAGGCAGCAAGAGTAAGGGAAAAAATAGTCGTGAAGAGCATTAGAAGGAAAAGAAGCGTAGGACGAGAATAAGTGGTCGATAGGTTGAGATATGAGGCAGTGAGGTAAACATATTTGTGCATCAGTTGATTCGAATAATTTTGGGCTTGGCAGCATCAAAAATATGGTTTAAAAATAGAACAATGAACTGCATAATAGATGGTCGTCACCCTCGATTTCGAACGTTCGAGCTGTATATACGTAAGTAGCGGTATCTTTGATTAGATTAGCATTAGCGTAGTTTTGAGTCTAACCAATCTCCTCTTTACTCCAATTTCTAATGAACTAGTATTATTCTACTTCCCTGTTACTCTACACTTTCCTCCTGAGTGGCTCAATTATAGCGAATTCAACTACAACAGTAAAGAACCCATAAATACAATGGCAGCCAAAGAAGCACCCCTCGCGTTCAGAGACATGTTCATGATACCAGCAGCCGACGAATTAGCCGACGAGGCAGTCGAAGAAGAACTTGAAGCATTTGATCCTGAACTTGAAGGGACGGAGAGGACGCTTAAAGATAAACAACGAATTGTTAGCTCTGATTCACAGGAAGGCATAGCCCTGCGTACCTATCGAGAACATGAACAACACCATTCGCAACAATGACATCCGCAAGAACAACATTAGCCTTGTTAACCATTACCGAACTTCCAGACACCATAATAGCCACATTGGCGCCCTCGACGGTGGGGAGGTTCATGGTTGACAGACGGCTACTGTACCCAGAGCGGGCACGACGTGATACTCCAAGACCGACGCGAGTTGGGAAGTGGAAAGGCCGCTGACCGTGCTGGCGATGGCAGAGAACGCGGCGTTGGTAGGCGCGAAGACGGTGATGTTGGGAGTGGTGTTGATAGTCGTCAATAATCCAGCGGACATTACAGCTGAGGCGAGTGAGGTGAGATTATTGGCCGTGGCAGTGTCGGAAACGGAAGGTGGGATCGTGAGCACGGTGTCGATGATATGAATAACACCACCGTCGAAAGTAATGTCCTAGGTTATGGGTTTAATTTTTGATCCACGATTCTTGAATGAGAACGTACAGGTACGACAACGGACGATTTGGCTCTGAGTCCACTGAAGATATCAACGCCTCCACCCTGCTCGGCAACAGCTTCGACGACTTGGCCGCCTGTAACATTTGTGAAAGACGAGTTGGTAAGGAGGGTGCTGGCAAACACCGGTGTCGTGGTAAATGCTGTGGATTTGAAGGCACCATTGACGACATGGTATTCCAACAGAGCAGCTACCGTGCCAGAGTCTGCGGCTGCACCAGCTGGTGAGTTGAGGAAGGTCATAATAGCATCGTTATGAGGCGCCAGGAGGGTAATGTTCGTCGCGCTAGTCAAAGCACTGACGACGGCTGGCTGACTGTTTAAAAGAGTGACGAGGTTGCTTAGTTGAGTCTGATTCTGCAGGACGCTGACGATGGATTGTGCTGAAGCTGAGGCGGCCAGAACAAGAGGAAGAATAGATTTAGTGTACATAGTGGAAAAGAAAAGAAAGGTCGTGTGGGAGAACGAAAAAAAAGGACCACGATCGACGCGGTTGTGGAGGTTGGAGAAAGAAGGCGAAGGAAAAGATAATGCGACAAGGTAAACTTGAAGACCTTTTTATACGAAATCATCATGCATTCGTGAGGTTTACTATCCGCAGTCACAGTTTTCAATCGAAGGTTGAGTTGAAAGGATTGAACAATTCTTAGCTACATCAAAAAATCGTTCAAAAATAGTGAGCAACAACACGGATATAAACATCTCTTTATATTGACATGAATGTGCCGTGATAACTGAATGGGTAATTCAGGCACTTATTCATAAAAATTTCGTAAAATCCTTACCATTTCACTTAATGTCTAAGCGTTGTGGTCAAATAAACCTATGATACTAAAGTGACAGAGGGAGCCAGTATAGTACGTAGTTGCGATGGCCATATGTATCATCTGAACTTATTTCCCTCGACAGTCCAACGTAGGAGTTGAGAAGAACGAAGCCCACATCCTAATGCACATAAGTCCTACATATCAGTCAGAAGGTGTTGATGGAGGGGCTGCTTACCCCGAGGCGACGCGCCAATGCTGTGAATGAGCATCATATCGGTCGCGGCTGGATAACAGTTCTCATGACGCTGTCCATGACTGAGCGAAAACCCTCCAACTAAAATAGGCCTCGCCGACAAATGCCCACGAGGAGAACGCGATGAGTTGCCGTTCGTCAGGCCAACTGTTTTCATGGCAATACTAACTGTGTGTAGCAGGGAAATAGAGTGTAGTCCGGGAGTGACATCATAGATGCTATCAGTGGCAGTGCTTCCAAGAAGAAATGCCGATTCGATAACGATATTTACACGAAGGCTCGTATCCCATTGGTGGAAATTTGACAAGGTGGAATATTTTCAAAGATGAAAAATGATGTTGGTATGTCGCTCAAGGGCCGAGCTTGAGCTTACATGTAAACTGCCGAAGGATGGATGGTCTAGACCGTCCATTCACGATTAGATTAGATCAATAAGGTCACCTGACCATTAATTCACAAACAAACGATCCCTTCCAAATTGAATTGAATCCTACTGAACTTTGATTTCAAACTTATACCTCTTTCTTCCGGATACCATGTCCTCGCACCAGCAACAGCAACCATACGTGCAAGCAGGCGAACCACTGAACGACTTCTTAAGGTCGTTCTGGCAACGCCAAATCGACGCTGCGGAGCAGGAAACACCGGATTATCGGCACCCACCACTGCCTTTGGCGAGAATTAAGAAGGTCATGAAGAGTGATCCTGATGTTAAAGTGCGTTACTTTAATTGTGTGTAGAAGGGATGACATCTGACAACTTGAAAAGATGATTGCTGCAGATGGTACATATCCCTCCTTGTTCGCGTATGGTTTGGCGGAATGAGGTTCTGAAACCCGTCAATCTTTGCTTCTGTCCAGCTCCCATTTTATTCTGCAAAGCATGCGAAAGTGCGTTGAATAATTGATATCACCCAACTTATACTTATTTCTTCCTACACAAACCCATAGTATTCATAGCGGAAATCACCGCCCGCGCTTTCATCGTCGCAGACTCCAACAAGCGGCGCACGCTCTCCAGAGCAGATATCGCCAAGGCTCTGAGCAAGGCTGACCAGTTCGATTTCCTGATTGATATTGTGCCTCGAGAGGAGGCTGGCTTTGGTAGTCCGATGAATGGAGGATCGGGGTCTGGTGGGGCTGGAGGAGCGGGCGGTGGGGCAGGGTCGGGCGGTACTGGAGGTGCAGCAGGAGGAGCAGGAGCGCCGAAGAAGGGGAGTGGGACAAGTAGTGGGAAAGATCATTCGGTATGTTTTCTTTCTGCCACTGGGCTGGGCAGGGTCTTATGACGTTTTTCTGTTCCATATTAAGGGATCGACGCAAGAAGAGCAGGACATACACGGTTCGGATTCGACGATGAGGAGTAGTGAGACACTGGAAGAGGTGGGCTTACCGTACTATGTCCTATTCCTCTTCTCGGCCAGCATAACTGACCGGTGCTCTCTTCCACCTTCACAGCTCGACGTATTACTAGTGAGCCGACACCACTCACCGCAACACGGTTCTCTGTCGTAATTCAGGACAGGACCGCTAGGTCCCTCTTGACGGGTCTCGTCTTGTCCAGACTTCTTCCTACGTCATCTTCCTTGGTATTTTCCCGAGGCCCCTTACTTTTTTACCTTCTTTCGCCGCTTACCTTTCTGCTATTATTATTTTCTGTTCAAGGGTTTGATACCTGTCATACTCTCTTTCCGGACGCTTTCTATATATTCTGTTTTTGTGACTTGCAATTGTCTAGCTCAGTCATCTCTCGAGTATCATTTTATTTGCTTTGTAGATAGTTAAGGTTATTGTAGCGTAGGATTCTTAAAACTTGATGACTTCGACGTCAGTGAATGCCACTGAAGCATACTACCTGCAGTTAGACTCTCCAAGTTTTTGTCGAATTGTTGAGTTGATGCTGCTCTTTGATTCTGACAGCATCAGTACAATAACTGTCTTTGCTTCAAACTCACATATGTCAATCCGACCCGGAGACATCTTTGTTACCTTGTTCCTCCGCTCTGATTTGACGAGCTTTCATTGGGCTTTAACAATCTGTTCAGGGCAATCTGGGAACGATGGAAGAGGAAAAGATGATGAAGGAGGAGGAAGAAACAAATGGCTGAAGATGCACGCGAAGAATACACATGGTGGCGTTTGGCGGTACGAGTGCCTGGAGTTGGAAGGAAACGAGGATGGGGTGCTAGAGGATGCGAGCGTGCTCATTCAGATAGGTAAGTGATACTTTGACGCTTGTTCTAAAGGCGTTTTGGTATGTAGAAGAACTGAAATTGGTCTATTAAGGCAATCTTGCTACCACCGAACTCGCCACGACGATCTCTCAGATGGATACCCTCTTCAGAGAAATACCACACAGAACGGATCGAATCGATGGGGGTCGCAAGACGAAGTATGATTGCATTATCTGGCTTAGGATGGCAGTCCGGAAACTAATGGAAGTGGGGATCCTCAATCTCAACTTGAGCTCGCCAATGAACGATTCGGGCCCTGACTCTGGAGGAAAGGGTGTGGGAGTGGTTAAGCTGGAAGAGGAGTGTCGTATGTATGGGGAGGGGTTTTTACGGATTCAGAAGGGTAAAAAAAAGGAGGAAGACAGAATTATGCTGGTCAAGTCGAGGTTTTTGACCTACGCAGTGCGCTAAAGTTGAGGGAGAGCCTGCAGGTAAGACTAATATAGTAGAGTAATAAGTTCATTAACATGTCTCTGTTAGTATATCGGTTAGTACACGCGCCTGTCATTCCGCACTAGTGTTCGCTGACCGCGCGAAAGCTGGGTTCGACTCCCAGACAGAGAGCTATCATAGATCATTACTTCATTTTGACTCATTTTTTCCTTCTGACTTGCTTGTGTAAGTAAGTGAACACATGTTGCGGAACGCAGGTCCTGTACAGTACTCCAGTCATGAACTTCATAGGGCTTGTCACTGTCAGCACATTCGTTACGTTTTCTGCTTTTCCAAGATCTGTCATCATTGATTATTAAAGTCTTATATGAATTTGACTGTGAGTCAACCGTGAGTTTACTGTGTTCTCCAAATTTTGGAGTTCATCACCTAACCTTCCTGCTCAGACGTATGCCCTCTCTAGAATAGCACACCATCTCTCTCCCCTCACATCTCGTCCGCATCATGACACTTTGACTAAGATGAACCACGACAAAGCACGCACACCGGGGCATTTCCACGAAGTGCTGGACAATTCCAAGGGCCCTCATCATCTCCAAGCACTCAAAATTAAAGCCACCGAACATGCACATACTAAGGCTCTAGAGCACGGACCGAAGAATCTTCATCATGTCGATGCTCTGAGGAGGCTGCGCCCTCAAGAACATGTCGGAGCAATCAAGGGGAAAAAAGGCGCACACATCGACCCTTAAAGACACAAAGAACCCGCACCACATCGACGGTCTTACCCGCACCACATCGACGGTCTTACGTATTTCCGTACACGAGAGAAAGTCGATGCAAACAATGCGAATAATATATACAGAAAAGTTTTAGATGACCTAAAGGAACCTCACCATCTCGATGCCCTCAAACGTTTTGCAGACCAATGCCGGAAAGGGGAAGAAGACCCGCGCTTCAATAGCCCATGCGCATAAGGCCCTCCAAAGGAAGGCGTCGTCCAAAGAAAATATGTTCAGCAAGAAAGGCAAGAAATTGACTATACCCAAGAGTCAACGCCTTGAGAGATCTGATGAGACCGGGCGTCACCGCTTTCATGAACATGAAGAACTGAATTCGGTCATCACCGCCAGTTCCCGTTTGGAGAAATAGATTGCCATCGCCATGAGCAAGCCGAATTTGGCCCTCACTGTCACCATGAGTTCGAGGAATTGGCTCCCCACCGGGCTCATAAGTTCGAAGAGCTTTGGCCGTCGAGCATATGACAACGGAGATTTTGGCCACCGCCAGCGCATTGAACGCCTCGCCCATGAGGGCGGTCGTTTGTGACGCTTGAACAGGTGTGCTTCCCTTGACTGTAATGCATTATGTGCTGGTAGTTTAAAATTCTGCAGAACGTTCTTTCAGGTGGATGAGTGATCAACATAGCTCTTCTATTGCACATAGGTATACCGTCAACTAGCCAACAGGAAGTAAATTAAAACTTCCCCAATGAAGCATTGCTTGGCCAAAAGCCGTCAAGAGGTCAAGAACCAGGTTTGTAGCCTGCTTCTCGCCTCTATCATCCAGAAACCTATCGAGTGATGTAACCGTTCCAACGTACTGTACCAAGTGGTCGGATATTTCAAGATAATCTGTATAAATCGAGGCTTAAATATCGAGCTTGAAGATCAAAAGTAAGGTTGTCAGAGGGCATCCAATGGCAGCTCGCTGTTGAGACAACTTCACAAGTCCGAGAACGATCGAAAGGGGAGACAGCTTATATTTGTTGCCCAGAAAATCGCGGGTGGGAGAGGTGGCGTCAAGGTGCCCCTTCGACCGCGAATAACGTATTGTTATGGCCTTCAACTCCGGAAAAGGTACGTCATGAGGGGTAAGGATCTCGAAAAGACCCAGAGCCTGAAAGATAAGACTGACATCCATATCGAACATGGACAGGTGTTGGACGTTGGGAAGCGTGGCAAAAATCAGTCGATATTCATCAGCTGTCAGCGCCGCTTCGGCGACCGCTGGGGTTAAGCACAGTTTCTCAACGCGCTCAAAGATGCGAGGGTGGTCGCGGAAAAGGGGATATATACTGAGGAAGTTGAAGCCGCCTTGAATAAAGACAGCGTGGTTGTAGATCCCTATCATATTTTGACCCTTTGCGGCAGTAAAGTTGACCTGCCTTACGTCGATGTCCCATCCTCGGCCTAGGGTCCTCGCAGTACCTGGATCAACGGGGAAGAGGATCGAGGAAAGGTATTTCAAATCTTTGCCCCATATACATCTCTTGGCAGTGCCAGGTATGACGAGATGCGCAAGAAAATAAGCGATATCGCCGCTGGAAGCCCAATCTCCAATCTCCAACGATTTCAGCATAGAGAGCCGGATTGGGGTACGTTTGGAAATGTGGCTCAATGATTTTCCACATGGTTGATTTTATCCATTACAGGCCCTGCTCGTACCAGTGTAAGGAGTTCTAGAGTATTAGAGGATGCCTGGACCATGTCAAGGAAAGAGACCGCGTCCGAGTAAAATTTCGTTTGGTCGGATGTCCGAGGTTGATCAAAAAGGGCAAGATGGGTAAGGTTGTTTGGTATGCATCGGGCATTGAAATTGATCATATATTCTGCGACCGGTGAGCCATGAAAGAACAACTTCCGCGTTTGAGGGGACAAGGCAGAGAAGAGTTTCCTGAAGTCGACACTATGTGCGGCTGATGTAGGTCCTGTTGAAGACGTTCTCGAAGAAATTGCCGGAACAATCATTCGACTGAATTGATCTCTCTGGACAACGGCATCGACGGGAAAGCTACTATGGAAATAGAGCTCGCTAATTCGGTCCGCATTTGTGAATAACAAGCGTAGGGCGCGAAGTAATCTTGCTGTCTGCGGAATGCTGGGTCCCCCATTTCGCCCTGTAAACCCGTTTCCCAACAAGGTTCCGCAAACTATGGTGAGTGGAAGCTGTTCTGATTTGCCTAGAAAAGTCGCGACATGCGCAGAATTGCTGTGAACGTGGATACGGGTCCATAAGGAAGGAGTTTCATGTGCAACAGAACGCCAATGTCGGCAGACATGAGTAACATTGACCCATGAATTAGGGTCCAGATGAGTCGAGCCTTGACAATTATTCGAGAATGGGTCATCCTCTCCGTCCTCCTGAAGGAAGGAGAAGATGCGCACTAGGACGCATACCGGAAGTGTATTCACCGACCTCAAGGCATTTTTCAGCACTTTCACAAGCGACAGGCTTGCCTCAACCTGTCGTTCAATCTCTTCAATCTAGTCTCGGTGTTACTGATTAATAAGAAGCCAGGATCAACCTGCAGAGTTTCATACCTGGGGTTCCGCATATCTGACAAAGGTCAAAAAGGGCCATACAAGGAAGATAAAAAACTCACCGTTGTCGTCCTTTACTCGAGACTGCGTTCTGGAGAGCTGAGAGTAGCCAGAGCGACAATAAGGATTCTTCTTCAGTGTCAGAGCCCTGCATGATGTTTGCCTGCATGACCGATACCAGTTAGTACTGGGATTGCTAGAGAATACTCCAACGCACGTACTTAGAGAGACAGGGCCGCGTATGCTCATATGTAGATCGGCTCCTTATGTATCCAAACTGTGATGGGCGGGTCGTCCAACTGCGTGGTCGCGCTCGTTGCGATGCAGTACTACTGCGGGAAGTTCGATCAGACTTGGCATCCACGTCTGGAACCAATATGAGGACTACGATTTCATTCTGAAGGCCCTCAACGACAGAGGAATGGAAGAAATCATAACGAACGACGAAAACCTGATGAAAACAATAACGTGAGCTGGCAGGACCCGATTGACGGAAATCCCCGTCATCAAACTTGCTCCCGTCTTCAGAGAAATAAGATTTTTCTCTTTCCCCTTACTAGGCTCTTTTTTAATCAGGAATTATGAAGCCTGACTCGAATGCCAAGTCTGACGAACTGTCTCCCATGCGGCACAGTAACTGTGGAGCGTTAAAACGATAACTCTGTCGACTCCGGCTTTGTAAATAATTTTTTTAAATGTACGGACATGTCGGGCAGGGAAGCTTGCGCAGGCCATAGAGGAATGCTTAAAAGTCCTGAGTGTTTCTTTTGCAATCTTCGATGGCGCCCACTCTTCGACTAAAAATCGATGACCTCGCCCAGGCTCTTTTTCTTGTTCTGGGACCCAATGAGATCGGAACACAGAGGACGGAAATAAATACAGAAGAGGTATGCATTTCCTTTTTTCTAGTAAAAACCATAGACCATTGGGGCATATTAGGTTGCACAACTCGAGAAACAGCTATGGCTTGCCCTTGCAAGAACAAGAATGGTCAATAACGCAACCCTATCCATCAATCGTTTGCCCCCAGAAATCCTGGCACGGATTTTCTCCTTCCTTCAAGTGCCTTTGCCAAGAACCCCTTTTCCGCTCCCCAAGGCCTTTAATTCCTGGTTTTCTATTCTGGAAGTCTGCCGCTACTGGCGAATCGTTGCTCTGGCCTTTCCTCGACTATGGGATCACGTATATATCCGTAAACGCTTTGATGACCCTGCGACGATGAGTATCAGACATTCTGGAAGACTTCCTCTCAAGGTGTTTTATGACTTAACCACCTCGAACAGGGAATCCGAAAGCCATGATTCAGGAGAAGATGAGCCATCGCTCCTTCTTTCTAAAGCAATCGACCGAGTACAGGAACTTTACTTGCAATTGAGCGGCGAAGCTTGGGACAATCAATATTTCACAACTATCCTCGCCTCTCCAGCCCCCAAACTCGAACGCCTGGCTATCCTCGGAAATTGGAAGGACCCCTGACAGGGCTATACCTCTTTTATTTTCCAGCTGCACTCCAGCTATACACACTGTCATCTTCTCTCACATTTCTTTCGACCCCTTAGAGAATTTTAAGAACCTCATCCATCTATCATTATACAGTCAAACAGCTCCTGGTCGCCGACCTTCCCTGGAAAGATTTTTGCAGATTCTCCGTCATTCTCCAAATCTCGAGGAATTGGTTCTCGTCAGAGCAGGTCCAGATGAGGGCCACCCTGTCTTACCTCCTGGAACATATCTGACACCCGTCTCGCTTCCCGTCTACGAATGCTAGAAATTGGATACGGCCACACTCCAAACGTACACTTTTTCCTTTCTCATCTCATTGTCCCCAAGCAGGCAACACGGTGCATT